AAGTATTTCTTTAAATATTTTTTCTCATTATTGCCTTTCCTCTTTTCTCTTTGGTGATTGTACCTGTGCATTTATGCGGTACATGTCTTTTGTTCTTTTGCTTTAACTTGTTTTTGTGGTTTTTCAATTGTTGTTTTTGTCTGAGTGGGAGACTGCAACTGTGCCCATACAAACCAACCTTACCTGCACCTCTTGCAGCTTCACTTACTGAGTAAGGGCCACCACTTCCTTCTAACACCAAGTGATCAACGATACATGACCACCAGTAAGAGGTTGACTCACCCTTAACAGCCCTTCACAAACAGTTAACGGAGACCTGTGCAGCCACTCTCATTCCCTATCACACCCACCAGGAGACAGGTGGTGAGTGCATCAGTGCTGCCAACTAGCAAATAGAAGAGCACAGTACCCTGTTTACTCAGGTACATTTTAAAAAAACCCAAAGAAAACGAAAATCTTGGATGAATCACTCCAACATATAATCACCAATTAAATATAAATACAACAAATCACAATGTCTCGGAGACAACAGACCATCACAGCCCACACAAAGGAGCAAGATAAAGTGGTAGAAACAAGGGAGCAGGATACAGACCCAGAACACATCCCTGAAGAATAAGCAGCATTGGAACTCCCTGATAAGAAATTCAAAAGAATTATATTTAGCTACCTTCAATGAATTGAGAGACAGATCAAGGAAAACAATGCCAAAATTAAGGAAAACAGAGTCAGAACCCTAGAACAATTTCAGAAGAAAGATGAAAGCAAAATGAAGAAAGCCTAAGATTCATGTGGGATACCATCAAAAAGTGTTTTACCTGCGGGTAATCAGAATTCCAGAACAGGAAGAGAAAAATAAAACCACAGAGGATTTGTTGGAAGAGAACTTCCTGATATGATGAAAGATGATAATATATCCATTCAGGAAGTCCACTGAACCCCAAACAGGATAGATCCGAAAAGAAAATCACCAAGACATATCATCATCAAACTCACCAAAACCAAAGACAAAGAATCCTAAAAGCAACACAACAAAAACAAAAAGTTACCTACGAAGAACAACGAATAAGACTAAGTTCTGATTTCTCAGCAGAAAACCATGCAGGCAAGAAGGCAACAGGATGATATATATAAAACCCTGAAAAGAAAATTTCCAACCAAGAATTATATACCCAGCAAAATTGTCCCTCAAATATGATGGTGAAATTAGGACATTTCCAGATAAGCAGAAATTAAGGGAATTTTTTAAAACCAGACTAGCCTTACAAGAGATACAAAAGGGAGTTCTTTGGACAGAGAACCAATAACAGCAAACAACAACCAACCATTAATACACATGATGACATAACCCAGAAACCAACCCAGTTACGGAAGTATCCAAAGTAAAATAAGCTTACAAGATTGTTAACCAGGAACCAGAGACATCAATTGGCAAATGAGGACAACTACAAACCAAAAAGAGGGGGAAAATAAGTGTTAGTTACAGAACTTCTAAATGGTGAGAAAGTCAAGAGAGTTGCAAGATAGATGGACTGTTCTAACGTTGGGGAGAAAATTATAAATCACAGGGTAACCTCAAAGAAAAATGATAAACCTTCATATCACAATAAAAAAGAGGACAAGCACAAATATTTATCAAATACTAAAACAACAGCAACAAAGGAAATGACAATACGATTCATAAACATAATGAGCTCAGCACAGAAAATTATATGGAACAAAGAAACCAGGAACACTACAAAATAACACATAACAAAATGACAGCAACCAATTCATACTTGTTGATAATTACACTGAATATCAATGGATTAAATGCACCACTCAAGAGACAGAGTTGCAGACTGAATAAGAAAACATAACCCATCAACATGCAGTCTACAAGAGACACGCTTTAGAGATAAAGAGAAAAATAGACTAAAAATCAAAGGCTGGAAAAAGATGTATCAAGCAAATGGCAACCAAAAAAGAGCAGAAGTGGCAATATTAATTTCTGATAAAATTGACTTTAAGACAAAAACCACTATAAGAGACAAGGAAAGATGTTATATAATGATTAAAGGATCAATTGAATAATAAGATATAACCATAATAGGTATTATGGACCTGCTGAAAGATCCCCAAAATACATAAATCAGACTCTAACAGAAGTGAAAAGATAAACGGATGACTCCACAGTCATAATAGGAGACTTTAATACACCACTTTCATTGAAAGATGGAATAACTGGAAAGAAACTCAACAAAGATGCAGAAGAGCTAAACAATACAGTCCACCGACTTGATCTTACAGACATCTACAGAGCACTTCACCCAACAACAGCACAATATGCATTTTTTCCAGTGTACATGCAACATTCTCCATGATAGACCATATGTTAGGCCATAAAGCAAGCCTCAATAAATTTACACTTGATCTTAGCCAAAAGGCTGAGAAGCAATAGGCCTCAATAAATTTAAAAACATTGAAATACTGCAGAGTATTTTCTGAGATCACAATACTGTAAAATTAGAAATCAACATAGGAAGATCAACAGAAAAAGAGCAAAGTCATGGAAACTGAATAACACCTTCCTTGAAAATGACTGCATAATAGAAAAAAATAAAATGAAATTTAAAAATTCCATGAATGAAAACACAGTGTACCAAAATCTTTGGAACACAGCAAAAGCAGTGAGCCGAGGCCAATTTATAGCAATAAATGCATACATCAATATAGAAGAAAGAGCTAAAATCAACACCTTAAACCAGCATCTTCAACAATTAGAAAAAGAAAAGCATAGTCAGCAGAAGGAAAGAAATAATAAAGATTTGCACAGAAATAAGTGAAACAGAAAATAGACAATAGAAAAAAATCAGCAAGGCTGTTGTTGTTGTTATGGGCCGTCGAATCATCTCTGACTCATAGTGACCTTATGTACAGCAGAAAGAAACACTGCCCAGTCCTGTGCCAGCCTCATGATGCCTACTATACCTGAGCCCATCACCGCAGCCACCATGTTAGACCACCTTGTTGAAGGCCTTCCTTCTTATATCGACACTCCACTTTACCAAGCATGACATCCTTCTCCAAAGTCTTTGGTCATGACAGCATGACCAAAGTAGGTGAAATGAAGCCTGGCCATTCTCGCTTCCAAGAAGCATTCTGGTTGCACTTCTTCCAGGACTGATTTAGTTCTTTTAGCAGGCCACAGTATTTTCATCATTCTTCACCAACACCATAACTCAAAACCACCAACTATTCTTTGATCTTCCTTATTCATTGTCCAGCTCTCACATGCATATGATGCGATTGAAAATACCATGGCTTGGGTTAGGTGTATCTTAGTCTGACTTTGAGGAGACATCTTTGCTCTTCAGCACTTGAAAGAGGTCTTTTGCAACAGATTTCCCCAATGCAATACATCTTTTGTTGTCTTGACTGCTGTTTCCGTTGGTATTTATTGTAGAACCAAGTACTATGAAGACTTTGACAACTTCAGTCTTTTCTCCACCTATTGAACTGCTGCTTATTGGTCCAGTTGTGAGGATTTTTGTTTTCCTTATATTGAGGTGTTATCCATACTGCAGATTGTAGTCTTTAATCTTCATCAGTAAGTGCTCCAAGTCATCCTCACTTTCAGCAAGCAAAGTTGTGTCATCTGCGTATCTCGGGTTGTTTATAAATCTTCCTCCGGTACTGATGCCACGTTCTTCATGTAGTCCAGCTTCTCAGATTACTTTCTCAGCATACAGATTGAATGAGTATGGTGAAAGGATACAACCCTGATGCAGTCCCTTCCTGATTTTAAACCATGCACTATCCCTTTGCTCTGTTTGAATGACAGCCTCCTGGTCTATGGACAGGTTCCTCATGAGCACAATCAAATGTTCTGGAATTCCTGTTCTCAGTGTTACCACAATTTGTTATGATCCACATAATCAAATGATTTTGCATAGTCAGTGAAACACAAGTAAACATCTTTCTGGTATTCT